GTCAGATTGAGATCACTCTACTTTCATACCACTTGTTATACCATTTGACAGATTTTTCTATTATTCCTGAGTTTTTCAAAGGGCAATGTCTACATTTTTAGAAGACCTGGAGAATGTTTCAGTATCCACTGACTATTTCTTGATCTACACTTACCAAGAATGTATATAACCAGGCCCACTTGGCAGTTCTAGAAACTATGAAGGCTGCAGGCCTAAAGCTAAAAAATAAAAGCCACCTGAGTCTGAAAAGCATATAGCATATAAAATACAACAAATAGCATGACCTAGATCCAAAGAAAGTGAAGCTGAATTCATGTACAGAATCTACATGAACTAAAGAGTTTGGGGCATGGTGTGCTATCTTGAAATATTTATATTATTTGTATTATAAATGGCAAAGACATGCATCCTTTAAAATCAACTTAGTAAAAAAATCCAAACATTTTGGCAATTAGCACATAAACAAGAGATAACTTTTAGGACAGAAATTAAGATAAATTTTAAGTTAAAAGACCCATATTCTGTATTAACTGACATATTGCTCTGAATCCTGATGCTACCAGATGGAATATTGCTTCAAACTCATCAAGCAAAATGGAAACCAATAGCCAGATTGAGGAAGAATTTCTTTATCTACCCTTCAGTGAAATGTAAGCAGGTCCTCTTATAAATCTCTGCTGTAACAAACCGTGCATTGAGATCCATTCTTCTGTTTCTGTTGCAGACAATCAAACCATAATATTTTGATTCCAGTCAATGTTCCAGTAAGCAGTCTAACAAAGGTGGTGAGATGAAGCAGAACTCAGTAGTAGGCAGAAGACTCAGTCCAAGATCAGAAGTTCAAGTAGTACAGTAGGTATGACATAGACCAATTTATAAAAAACAAAGAAGTTGGTTTCTGCATCATATTAAAACGAAATAGATTAAACTGCCCTATGATATACCGTTACATATAAACTAGGCCAGTTCCTTTTGTATTAATGCCAAAATAACCAAAGAAAATACAATCCCATAACGCAGCTTTTAAGATTAGGTAAATTGGACGGTTAAATTTAGGTCTAATTTAATTTTAACTCAGGGTGACATTGCAATGCACAGGTGTCAAACTTGCCATGTCACGTTTCACGTGATGTTTCACCATTTTTCCCCATTTGCGGAGCTGGGGTGGGTGTGGCCTGCATATGATACATTTGGCTCATGGGCCGCCAGTTTGACACCTCTGTTGTATTGCTTTCTCCCATTTGTCCTTATACCAATAACCCTATGAGGTACAGTATGTTGGGGGTAAGAAAGAATAACAGCCCTAAAATAACCCACAACTTATGTAAGAGTAGACTTGAACCTGACACTCTTCAGTCCTAAGGCAACACCTTAAAGAACCTCAGTGACGCAGTGGTTAGAGTGCTGTACTGCAGGCCACTTTTGCTAAGTACCAGTTGCCTGCAATTTGGCAGTTAAATCCCACCAGGCTCAAGGTTGACTCAGCCTTCCATCCTTCCAAGGTAGGTAAAATGAGGACCCAGATTGTTGGGGGCAATATGCTGACTCTGTAAAACAGCTTAAGAGAGGGCTGTAACAGCACTATGAAGGGGTATATAAGTCTAAGTGCTGTTGCTATTAATCTCTACTGTTTCAAATGAAGTGACAAAATCTCCAGTTCACATTTAAGAATCAGCATGGCCTTACTACTATAAATGATTAAATAATTTTTACAGTGCTAAGCAAGTTCCAATAAGTTATCTGAAATAGAAGCATTTCATTGAATGCGGGAACACCATTTCAACACCACTCCTTTAATCTTTTGATTGCCCTTAGAATAATTTCACACACTTCAAAACAAGCATTGGGTTACATTTATCTCTCCCCCGCCCCCAGAAATGCCTCTGGTGACCTTCTTAGCAACTAGAAGCATTCCTGTAAATAAAGATGATGCTATTGCCCGATATCTTGTTTATTTAAAATCTTATTTAATAAAATAAAAGAATGTAACCTGGAATTAAGGAGAAACTTCCTAACAGTGAGGACAATTAACCAGTGGAACAGCTTGCCATCAGAAATTGTGGGTGCTTCATCACTGGAGGTTTTAAAGAAGAGACTGGACGGTCACTTGTCTGAAATGGTATAGGGTCTCCTACTTGAGCAGGGGATTGGACTAAAAGACCTCCAAAATCCATTCCAGCTCTGTTCTGGTTGAAACTAGAATTAGATGAGCAGAATAGCTTGAAAGTGCAAAAAGTCTATAGGAATATTGGTACCATTCAATATTTATATTTACCAGTGCCTGATTTAAGATTTTAATTTTACATTTTTTCTGTTTATTTATTTGTATCCGACCTTTGCTATTTTTACAAATAATTCAAGGCAGAAAACCTATCCAACACACTGGCCTTTTTTATTTTCCCACCACATCCCATGAGATGGATTGGGCTGAGTGACCAGCCCAAAATCACCCAACTGACTTTCTTGGCTAAGGTGGAACTAGAACTCACAATTAATTCCCTGCTTTCAAACCTGATGCCACTACATCAAACTGGCTTTTTAGCTTTATTATATACATTATATACATTATTAGACTATAAAGGACATATGAATTTATGCACTATGCAATTCTCAATATTAAAGTGGGATATTGATGTATCATTAAATTTATTTGCCACCTATTTTACTCTTAGGTTACTCTTAGGTATATGATTTCTTCCTCTCCCTTTGCTATAGGTAATGTGACATCGATCAATTCCTTCAACATTATTGAACTATCTTTTAATATTTTAAGGACTGATGTACATTAGTCCCAGTAGTTCAATCTTTAATTTCTAAAGAGTCTTAGCTAGTGTCTTCCCAGAGACCAAGAGATACCAAAAATAATCAAGATAACAAGTGTTAATGTACAGAAATTCTTTTGTCAGCAGACTCACAATTAGATTCAGAATTCGGGAAAGAATATTGATAGTAAGCCATTTATCACATATGGAATGTGTGTGTGTGTGTGTCTATGTGTATATCCCCTAGTTTTTAAAGCTTTTGCCTTTTTTACTTGATGCAGATGCATTTTGCATGATTTTTATATATTCTTTTACGACTCCCTCCATTGGAATGTATTTTTACCTCTATTAGGCAAATCAAGCTTCCCTATCACAATGGAATTTTGTATATGCATAAAAATATATAGAATAAGTCAAGGTTGACTACCATCAGAAATCATTTGGAATAGCAGAAATGACATTTTTACTTCGCAGAAAAATCTGTGATTAGATTCTGAAATCCTTTTTCTGTTGGATGGAGCCTGTGGATTCATTCCATAGAATTTTACGATGCCTAAGCATGGAATTTGGCCATATTCACTTTCTCTGAACTGTGCCCAGTAGATAACTATATAAAGTTACAATCATCACTCTGATAAATAGCTGCCAGCTCACTTTCTGAAAATATTATTCATGCAAACAGTCTACTTGCATGAACTCTGTATCAGTGGAACTGTGAATTTACACATGGTTGCAGCTCTTATTTTGTAAGCTGAGAAAATTACAGATGATCACCAAAAACTGACTGTCAGGCTTTGGAACGAAGAGACAGGTTACTCATCTGGGAGTTAAGACTTCAATTGAAAAAGACATAGGAAGATTGGAGAAAACCGATTTAGTTGATTTACATCTCTTACCAGCTTTAGAATCATATGCCTCCTTTTATGTATCATGTTCATTTGTTTATTTAATCAATTTTCTATACTGCCCATCTCATCTAAAGGACTCTAGGCAGTTTACAACATAATAAAATAATATAAATTTTGAATAAAACCACAAATTAAAGAGTTAGGAACAAGTTACAACTTACACATTAAAAGTCTATGGAGATTCTCAGTCATCCAGATCCAGGTTGTCCCAAAGGTGCTTTTTCAAGAGGCAAGTGGACTTTTTGGTTTTTCTCTGAAGATGTTTCACTTCTCATCCAAGAAGCTTCTTCGATGAGAAGTGAAACATCTTAAGAGAAAAAAAACCAGAAAGTCCACTTGCCTCTTGAAAAAGCACCTTTGCGATTATAAGTTAAAAGTAAAAATCAAAGTTAAAACATTCAGAAAGATTAATGGATAAAAAGATATGGCAATGCTCTCAAGACACCAGAATCCCAGGGTTGCATCAGTTTTGTTGTACTAAAACATTTTTTCTTCAGTTTAGCAAGTTAAAAAAATTCCCATTCCAAAACAAGTGGCAGAATCTACAATGAAGGAAATGTGTTTTAACCACCAGTACTGGAAGGAATCCCCCTCCCCCCAAAAATTCAAGGCCTTTTGGACAAATCTGTATCCATCTTCTTTAAAAAAAAAGGGTGGGGGGAAGGAAATACCCTTTTCTCTAAGGCGTTGGACTACAAACCCCAGAACTCCTAGCTACCACGATGGCAGTTGTAGTCCAGAGCAAGGGATCTCAAATCTTGGCAACTTTAAGACTTATGGACTTCAACTCCCAGAAGGAGTTGAAGTCCATAAGTCTTTTAAAGTTGCCAAGGTTGGAGAACCCTGGGCCAGAGCATCTGGGCAACACTTGGCAAACCGCTTGAACCACCTCCCAGAGTCCTTAATGGTGCTCCCTAGAGAGCAGAGCCCCAAGACCCATCAACTTGATCCAGCCGGTTCAAGGAGGCTGAATTGGAAGCCATGGGCTGGATTTGTTTTAGCAAACTCCCCAAATTATAAGTTCTGAATCCACAAAGATCAATGAAAAAGACCCGGTCACCATTCTAGGTGGCCCTTCATTCGATACCGATATAGACACAGACAGACACACACACACAATTCCTTTCGCGATGCTTAGGAATGCTGGATGCTCGAAAACAACACCAAGCGCACGTGCTGAGGCCAGCCGTGTGACCTCACCGAAGTGGCAGCGGCGCGTGCTTTCGCTTGCGTCCTGGCCGGCGTGATACTCCCCCCTCCAACGCCGCCGCCTCCTCGAAGCGCAGGCGCAATAGCTGAGTTACCTAATGCGCTGCGCCGGCCTCCTTTTCCTTTGCTCAGCGGGCGGAAGCGCAGTTCGACGTGAGAGGGCGGGAGGAGGGGTCTTTGGTGGCGGCTGTTCCGGTCTCGAGGGGTTTCCTGGTTTGCAGCAGGCAGCGCTAGTGAGTAACATGGGCGAAGGAGGCCATGAATTCGTCGATTCGTCTCTCTTCCCCCCCCCCGCCCCCCCCCCCCCTTAAGCCTGAGGACTTGGCTTTTGTTCCTATTTCCCCCCCTCCCCCTCCCCTTCCCCATTTTAGAGCGTCTACGCACCTAAAGCTCATCCTTTGGTCAGTTGCCAAGGCAGGAGGACATAAAGCAGAAAGGAAAGACTAAAGTCAGAGCCAAGTTTTGTGTTTTGGGGGGGAGGTTATTTCCGGGGGGATACAGGATGTTTCTTAGGGAAGAATCGGAGAAACATTGTCCCTAATTCCACCACCCCCACCCCGGTTTTGCAGAATTGGCTAAATTGCATATCACGAGGCATTTGTGCATATTGATTATTCCATTTATCTCGGGGGTTTAGCCAGAAAGGGGTCTTAAGGTGGTTTTCCTGGTCAATGCAAACAAAAGTGTATGTGTGTGTGTCTTTAGGGTTACAATTTCATGAGACTGGACACAAGAAGACATTGGAGAGAGGACGAAAGAGTAAAGCGTCGATTCCTAAATTTTACGATGCTTAAGAAATGACCTGTTGTAACTGAATCAGGAGAGTAGCTTTTCTCCTTGTTGCTGCAGCCTAGGAATATCTCGTGTGGGAGAGAAGCAAAGCCTGATAAGGTTTGAAGGCTTCTCAGCTTTTCTGGCTTTAAAATTTGTATATAGTTGTATATTTCGTACATTAGGGAAGAAATACGCAGTAGTAGTGCTGGAGGAGTTAAAGTGTTAAATAGAAAAGAAAATGTAAACCTATTTTTCAGTTTCTAAGAAATAGGAAGACTTCTCCCTCCCTCCCTCTGATAGCACAGAAGAAACCAATTTCTGGAAGAAACCAATAACAAAATAATGCTAGGCAATGCTACCAAAGTTATTATCAAAGAGACCTCAAGTGTAGTTAGTAAGGGAGGAAGCTTACTGGCTGATCTCGACCATTCACCAACTGTCAGACAAAAAATAAAAATTAAAGAAATATGGGTCCTATTTTAAATATTAAAGATGAAATATGAGTGAAATAAAACTATGTGTAGCCCATAAATTCTTGTCAAGGAATGCCAAAATACAACCAAATCACAAAAGTTAAATTGGCATAAGCTTACCTTTAATTCGTGGTTGGAGAAATGAAGATAAAGTCTGAACCTGAATAATGTTGCTGTCCTGTTAGGAGAGCTTTCTTTTTTTTCTATAGTTTACCTATTTCATTTTTCTCAGCAAAAATGAAGAACGGGTAATGTGGGATATTTTTTTTATTTCCCTGATGTCAGATAATCTAAAACATTTAATATCTGCTTATTTCAGAAGTTCGCATAAGCGTGTTACATTTTTACTTTGAGGAAATGTTTATTAAAATTCCATCCTAGCCAGTGAGTTACTGTGAGCATGCAGCTTTGACTAAATATAGATTTGCTCATCTATGAAATAGGCTATTAATAAGTAGTCAAGATAGCACCTTATAGTATTTTACATTACTGAGGTAAGACTATTCCACAAGGACAAAATTGGTTGGTTAAAGATGGTGACTTATTTGTTTGGTTCTTCCCATGCCCTTTTTTCTCCTTAAAGCTAGGGTACTTTCCAGATGTTTTGGATTACATCTCTCATAAGCCCCCATCAGCATAACAAGCAGGAATTATGGGAATTGGAACTGAAAACTGAAAACATTTGGCTATAAGGCTGTACTAAATTTCTTGGCTATAAGGCTATACTAAATTTCTTACCCCGTTTTCAGATTTTTAAATTTTTCTTTAGGAAAGTAGAATTGCATTCTATTTTTGTCAGATAACTGTAATACTTTCAGTAATACTAATGCTTAGCTAAATAGGTTTGTAAAAGATTGTGGATTCAAACTTTGATAATTGTAAAGTAAGCCTGAAAAGATTTCTGTTTCAAACTCTTCAAAGTTTTAAATAGAAATCTTTTCAGGCTTACTTTACAGTTTCTGTTTAAAACTGAAGAGATGCTATCTATAGGGTAGACATCCGGTGACAGCCTATGTTTATATAAAACAACTTCAAATGTACTGTTTTTTATTTTATTTTATTGTGTTATGTATTCTATGTATGTGTATGTGGTTTCAAATCAGTTGTTGACTTCTGGTGATTGGATCGGCCAGTCCCTGCAGTTTTCTTTGCAACATTTTTCAGAAGTCATTTCCATTGCCTCCTTCCTAAGGCTGAGAGAATGACTGGATCAGAATCACCTAGCTGTCTTTGTGCCTAAGGTGTGATTAGAATTCAGTCTCCAAGTTTCTAGACTGATACTTTAATCACTAAATGGTTTCTCGTGTACTGTATAGATAACTGATTTAAGATGAGCAGAAGAAACGAAGTGCTTCATGTCTATGCTGTAATAACTCTGATTTCTTTATTCTTAAAAATGTTCCTGCAAATCTTTAATGAAGGATAGTTTAATCTTTGCTTGATCTAACATTGATTCACAAATGATGCCATGCTGCATCATTGGGGAGTATGACTTGGTTTAAGAACCTTGACTTAATAAACCATGCTTTCATCATCAGTTTTATATGAAAAGAATTCTTGTTAGAAATACCTGGATAGCCTTAGGCTCATATGAATTAGTACAATGTGTGGAAAATTAAGTGTGTGAACTTTTGGATAACAAGCCATCTACCTGTCATTGTGCTAGGTCTTGTTAGGTTTCCTAAACCATTAGATAGATTATATATTACATGTGACAAGTTTTGGGTATGTGTGTTATAATATGAAGATTTGTCTCTATTTGCTAAGGTATGATTGATGTATTACAATGTTTGTCAGATAATGTTGCTTGCCAAAAGAACAAGGATTGGCAAGGTGGACTATTGTAGGCCGAGGGCTTGCAAGCTGCAGACATAGTAGCTCTTTACCTTCTGTGAACCTTGGCTTTTTTAAAATATAAGCTTGAGATGGTGTTTACTTGGGGAAGTCTTGCTTTACACAAATAAACAGCTTTCAAGAATTGTTTACTAATGCCAAACCTGGTAATTTTCTTTTGAACTATGCCAGCTCATGAACTGGCTTGGACAACTAAGGTAATCATGACCTATTCAGAAGAACTTGGGAAAGAAAGGGGGGCGGGGGGAGAATCTGGTTGTATGGAAGCTGTTCCCTCTGTGAAATGTATGAATCCTTTTGTTCTGCGGTATTAATAGTATTTAACTGTCAGTGCAATAATGAAGACACTGAGTAGAATCTGATGGAATTCTGCTGCTTCTCTAGAAAGGGATCTTGTCTTATGTCATGGAATTCATTATGTTATATCTCTGGGGAGATAGTGTACATAGAGGGGATTTTGTGTCAGTACCTGACTATCTACACTTGAACCTAACCAGCCATTCCATTGGGATTTAAAAATATAATGATAACAATTACTTTTACCCCTAACGGAACATTGGAACAATTCACTACAGTATGATGTATTACATTTTAGAGTTAAATCTAGAAGAATTTAAACAGATGCTTACTTCAATACCTTTGTTGGATCTTTGCTGATTTGAAATTTGATCAAATTTGGATATAGCTATCGGACTCTAAACTGAGGACATTGGAATCATCTTTGACAGTTACATCAATAGGCTTGATATACCGTTTCAGAATATTTGAGTATGCAGAAATCAGATTTGTCATCTAGACCCAAATTTATTTTAGGTAGTGAAAACTTGTTAATTGCTGCTGAGTGTGATCTTTCAGAAGAAATATTAAATGCCCATTATTCCTAGGTAAACTTCTACTTTGTAAAGAATTATGTAAGATTCTTCCAGGACTGCATTTGACCTCTGATTAATAATTTTTATAAAACCCTAGCTTTTGGATTGGGTTTCCCCAATGAATTCCAGAGGTAAAAACTCTTACAGGTCATTGTTAAAGTCCTAAAAGCACATTTAAACATCACAGTTATTTGAATGGCAGACAATAGATTATAATTTCCATTGTTTCCAGGGATGAAAATGTCAATTGACCTTTTGTTGCCATCCTCTTGTAACTTGAAAGCCTGAGTCAAGATTGTAATTGAAAGCTATTTGAAATCTCAGCTGATCAAGAATCCTATGGATGTATTGAGAGGTATCTGAAACTGCAAGTATTCATAATCATTTATACTTCATTGGCTGTCATTTGGTTTTTAAATCCCATATAGAATATTGGCTTTACATTTGGGTAACTTGCAGTCTTGTGAATATTATTGAAATGTACATTCCATCATTTTCAGCCAGTGTGTGATATTGGTACTTCTGATAATCTGGAAGACCTCAGTACATCCCAGCTTTTTTGTACGGGATTCTCATATTACCTGAACTGTTTCTCTTCATGAGAGAAGACTTACTTTGGTCCTACATTATAAACATTTATTAGCAGTTAATATAGGTCATCCATTGGTTCAGGGTGAGAAACCGTCGGTCCGGTGACAATACATTCTGGTATTGCCAGTTTGTGTATTGGTACTATAAAGTGCTAGCCTAGAAAGCAGGAGTTGTGTGTTCTTGGCCTCCCTTAGGTATGAAAGCCAGCTAGTTGACTTTGGGCCAGTCAGTCTCTCTTAGTCCAGTCCATGTTATATGGCTCTTAGTTTGGGGAAAATAGGAGGCATGTTGACTGCTTTGAGTTGCCCAAAATATGTAAAACGTTCAGGATAAAAATATAACAGCATTCATATAGTTTGAACCCTGTGAATTGGAGATGCTTTGGAAATCTCAAAGTGGTGTTTGGAGGCTGTTTGGATTTGGATGAGATGATACAGGCCTGTGATGGCGAACCTATGGCATGCATGCCACAGGTGGCACGCAGAGCCATTTGTGCTGGCATGTGAACCGCAGGCAAACTTAACTCACTGCGCATGCACATGCCTCCCAGCTGATTTTTGGCCTGTTTGAGGTCTTTTTTGGCCTCCCAGAGGCTTGAGGAAAGCCTTTGCAGGCTGAAAAATAGGTCCGTTTCATCACTTCCTGTATATCCAGAAATACTGGAAGTGATGAAACAGGCCCATTTTTTGGCCTGCAAATCCTGCAGAAGATTTCCTCAAGCCTCTGGGAGGCCAAAAAAGGCCTCAAATGGGCCGAAAATCAGCTGGGAGGCGCAGCGGAGGTAAGGGGGTGGCGGTGGGGGGGAATCGCGTGTGTATCCGCAGGCTGCTTGGGGGGGACGTGTGCATTGCCTTCTGGGTGCTGGCATGTGAGCGCATGCACAATTTTTGGCACTGGAGCCCAAAAACTTCAGTCACTACTGATGTAGGCCGAAACCCATGAACCCATGAACCCATGCAAGACAAGTTACTGCTTATGCAGAAGGAGTAGATCTTGAAGGAGCTTATCTCCAACTTGGTGCTCTTCCTTGACTTATGGCTACTTCAAAATAGAAGTCGTGGCTAGGGGAACCTGTTCCCAAATTTGGCTGCGTGCCAGTTGTGGCCTTACTTGGCCTGGGAAGATTTTGTCATAGTGATTCATGCATATATTTATTAGGAGCTGTGGTGGCGCAGTGGTTAGAATGCAGTATTGCAGGCTAACTCTGCCCACAGCCATAAATTTGATCTTGATGGGCTCAAGGTTGACTCAGCTTTCCATCCCTCTGAGGTTGGTACACCAAGGATCCAGATTGTTGAAGCAGTATGCTGATATTTGTAAACTACCCAAAGAGTGCTATAAAGCTCTATGGAGTGGTATATAAGTCCAAGTGCTATTGTTATTATTTGAATTACTGCAATGTGCTCTAGATGGAGCTACCTCTGAAGACTACTTACAACTGGTACAAAATATAGTAGCTTGTATGTTAACAAGTCAAAATCACAATCGTATAATACCTGTTTTGTGGTTGCTGCATTGATTATTGATAGATTTCAGGTTCAAAGTGCTGGTTTTGTCCCACAAAGCCTGTTTAACTTGTCATTGGGTTATTAACAAAAGTGTTTTCTCTCCCTAGAAGTGTCTTATTTATTTTATTTATTTATTGAATTTATATTGCCACCTATTCGCCCATGGTGACTCGAGGCGGCTTACAGAATGTAAAATCATATTTAAAATAAAAAAAACAATAAAAACTAAAAAAAGAATCAAATAAATTAATAAAGTACAATAGAACAAAATCTGGAGGGGAAAAAATCACCCCCAACTCCCAATTTCTTAACCTACCCAATTTGGCCCAATATTAGCATTTTTTAGTCTTCCTTCAGGTGTGTCAGGTTGTATTATTTTGTTATATATTGTATTATTTATATTGTATTATAGTAATTTTTAGATTTTACTTGTTTTATATTTTTGTGAATTAAACTGCTGGGTGTCATTTTGAATTTGACAGTATAAAAATAAAATAAATAGGGAGATTTTTTGGCTTACTTGTTGGCAAGATTATACAACCTAATACAGAGTTTTCACAATGACTGTTCCAAAACTCAGAAATCTTTTGAGAAATAAATTGGCTGCTATTTGTTGTTGTTTTTTTTTTTTTAATAAGTGTGTACAATAACATAAAAATATTTTTAAAGGCTAGGTTTTGGTCGATGTGGTGGATTAATTGGAAGATTATACATTTTCGATACTGTTTATTGTGTTTGTTGGTTGTAAGCCACTTTAATCAGCTGGAAAAGTGGTGTGTAAATATTTAACAACATTTATAAATTACTGAAATGCTCAGTGAGGTCAGAGCTTAGTGATCTCCAGAGAGCTTGATGAAAAGAATTGGAATTTTTTTCTCATTTGTTTAACATGTATATCTTCTATTGTTCCTTGTCTGGGCTATGTTAGTTACCATCTGAATGGATTCCAATTATGTGCCGGAACTATTACTGTCTCTCCTTCCTCTCAAGAGAACACAGGGCCTGGATTTCTTTAAGACTTCAAGGGAAATTGTTTTTTTTTTAAAGTGTTTTCTCTCTTTTTTATCCATTAAAATTAATGGATAAACATAAACAGAAATATTCATATAACTTTAGTATTTATATTTAAATTGGTAAATTTTATAAAAACTATTGACTCATTAAATTATTCAAATTAGTGAACTCTGTTTGGGTAGGGACACCTGCATGGTAGAACATTTCCCCTCATTGCCTGTCGCAGAGGAAATAATGGAAGGGATCTGGTATGTGATGGGCTTCACTAGGGAGGCAGAATTTATTCAACCTGGAGTATCTGCACAACTGCAGGCACTGACTACCATAAGTCAGTCACCTCTTCTATTTTCCAAACCACATTTCTTTTGTATCTGTCAAAAAATTCTTGACAAGCAGGTCTTTGGGGTAAATTGATAAAGAATCCTCAGATTGTCTCCTTTCTTCATGCTGCATGCAGCGCAGTAGAGAGCTGGCAGAATTCTTGGTTGGCAAGTAGGTTTTTGGCCCTCTGCTGAAAAACACGTGACTTTGCACAAGCCTTGGGATACGCTTCTCACAAGTATATAGTATTAGTATTTTTATTTAGTGCACTATGCACTTATATCTTATCGAGACTTTTGCCTTGAATTAAAAGTTTTCTTTCAAAAGCATAAAATCGACTGAACACATTGGGGTTTGATTTTGAATAAAAAGATAAAGGTAAAGGTTTCCTGGCCAGTCGTGTCCAACTTAAGGCCCAGTGCTGATTTCTGTTTCTTGACTGAGGGAGCCAGCGTTCTCTGAAACTTGCATAGAAACACACCATAGAATAGATGGACTGAAGTTTTGTTCACTGTAAAGCTTGTTCTCTATGTAAATAAAATGTCTATATTGGTTTGCTGGGCTTCATTCATTTTTACTTTTCTTTTTTTCCTCCCTAGATAAAATACTTACCATGATGTTCAGTGGATATGCTGATGCGGAAGCATTTGAAGATGATCCTTATTCTGAAGAGTCTTCCAGTGAAACAAGCATTGATAGTGAAGTAGAATTTCATCTTTACAGTCAAGTCCATTACTCACAAGACCTTGGGGATGCTGGGGAAAATAACAATAAGGATGTCAGAGGACAAGAAGAATTTAAGTCCTTGAAAAAAGAAAAATTGGAGAATGAACAAGATCAGAGAAATAACTTAATTGTCATTTCAGATTGTGATGTTAACATTTCGGACAGCTCAGATATCATAATATTGTCTGATAGCCCTGAGGAAGATAGCATTTATGAAAGTAAACTCCAGAAACTAACAGCATCCGCGTCTCCAACGTTACGTAAATTAAATAAGACTGCTTACTCTCGTGCCAAAAAATCTATTGAACACCCTTCCCGGCCTATCCTGAAATCTGAGGATCAGATTACAGTAAATTCAAGTAAAGCAAGAAAGGCTGATGAAAAGGCAATCTTAAATAACCAGGATGATGTTCACATGATTCACAGAGTTTTAGTAACTGAGGACAGCTCCAGCAGCGATGATGCAATTGATGTGTCAAGTATATCCTCTGAAAGTGATAATGTGGAGAGCTGGATGCTGCTGGGAAGTGCCGCAGATGACAAAGATGATGATATCCTGCTAAATCTTGAAGGCTGCAGAACTTCAGCCAGTGGAGGTTAGTATGTTTTTGTGTGGGGTGGTATCAAGCAGCTACAAGGAAGATTAGGTATTGAAAAGAGTAAATATAAAGGGTCAGATAGGTTTAGGGTGTTGGAAAATAAAACAGTAAGTATAATGTTCACTATAAAATATATTGGTATCTTTGTAAAGCATGTTGTGTTGTTTGAATAGCAGAAAAACATTCACACTACAGCCGTACACCTATTTATAAGGAAATACAGTCTTCCTGGCATATATCCACAGTTTGTAACCTTAGTGAAAAAAGAAGAGCACGCTGCAATTAACTTAATGTTCATCTATAATAAAAAGATTACAAATATTATACTGATGCAATAAATAAGGAAAACAAAGGAAAGGCATAGTATACTTTTGGACTGATAAAATTCTGAACTGTAAAATTATCATTTAAGCCATTAAAATTTCCAATTAAGTGAGAATAGTATTTGGAGACAGTGATATGAAAACAAATTTGGGATAGTCTTGGTTTCTCCTTTAGAGATAGCCCTTGATTTATGACCATTCATTCAGCAACTGAAATTATCGTGCTGAATGAAGAGACTTATGATCAGCGTTTGAAGTTACAGCTCCTGTACAGTAACAAGATAAAAATTCAGGTGCTTGGCAGCCTGCTCAGATTTATAACCACAGGAGCACTACAACTACCTCTACCTACCTATCCCACTCCCCCCAATTTAGGTCGCCCTTCCCAGCAACACTTGGCAGGCCCAAGGCTGGGCCTGAAGTAGACAACCCGGGCCTTCAGCTGTCTCAGCCACCACCCTCAGATCTCGGCTTGAGTCCTAGGGCTGCTGTCGCCACTGAGAAATGCTACCCAACTTCCCACACCATAGCCAGCCATGCAGTATGCTCAACTTTCAGATTCTGAATTGTGGTTATAAGTTGAGGATTATCTGCATTCTGTCTGTTTTCCACCAACATGTGAATAAAAAGGCACCAGAAATTTTAGTCATGTTCTCATGTTCATCTTAATTCAAAATATGGTATTTTCACAGAGAAGGGAAATGTATTTAATGACTGTTGCCTGATGATTGTTTTGTAAGATTTGCTGTCCGAATATGTTACTGTTTTACAAGTAAAAACTTAAAATTAGGTTTCTATGCTATTGGCAAGAAAACACAGAAGATATGAGGTAGGTATGAAACACCTAAAAACAATACGGATCTTAATATTTGTATTTTCTACATTTTGATTTATTTATTTGATTTATACAGCTGCCTATCTCAAATAAGTGACTCTGGGCAGTGAACAATCATAAAATCAATTAAAACCAATTAAAGCACAGATTTTAAAAACAAATATATAACAGCAGAATAAATCATAAAATTATGTATCAGAAATTATAATCCACAGGTGTTAAAATCAGAAAACAGGGTCATTGTTACTGCTATTGCTATTAACAAAATGGAGTCCCAGGCTGGGCACATAATCAGGTCTTCAAGGCCTTATAAAAGGCCAATAGGGCTGACAATATACTTATTTCTGAAGGGCAAATGCTGTAGAGCAGAGGTCTCCAAACTTGGCTGGCTGGGGAATTCTGGGAGTTGAAGTCCACAAGTCTTAAAGTTGCCAAGTTTGGGGACCCCTGCTGTAGAGGGTAGGCACTACAGCAGAAAAGGCATACTTACTAATCTCCACTAGCTGACACTCCCCCCCCCAGACAGACACACATACACACATACACACAGAGCATATATTGATCATATAAACTGAATACAATAAATATAAATGTTTTATTTTCCTTGTTATATTGCCTTACAATATAAGCTCTGTATACCAATTGCATTTTGCATTTTCAGTCATTAAGAATAAACATTTCAACCTGAGATTTAGTTTTGGCATACTGTACAGATTTCCTTAGACTGTATATATCAGCGTGTGCTAGCTTCTATAATTTAACTTCTTAGATTGTAACATCTAGTCTACCTTTTAAAAAGGCCTAGCAATATGTAATTCACAAAGAAGAAGTTTGATATATGATATTAGTTTAGCAAATGGGTTGTACAGTATAATTGTTGGTTTATCTTAAATTCTGTTCTGGGAGCAGAATTCTCCTGTCATCTTTTACTTCTGCAGTCCTTTTACTCCCTGAAAATGGGACTTCTGGGTGGATCCTCTGGAAATAAAATACAAGGAGTTTTTGAGGTCCGGCAAAAAGGGTTATATTTATTCTGAATTAGCAGTGGCTGCACTACATGGGTGACAAACCACCCTTGATTCCAGCAGCTCACTTTTGTACAAATCTCATTTTGTTTTTGCAAAAGGATTTGTCCTGCTTTTCTTCATGCAGTTTGTTGTGCATCCTCATTCTTCTTCAAAAAGCAGTGGGAAAAGTCTGTGAAGCACACTTTGAAGTTGACTACTAATAGCAGTGGGAAGGAAGATTCAGTCACCATTCTCTTATTCAGTCAGTAGAAATTGCTTCTGTGAACAACAGGATGGCCCAGGCATAATTTAAGATTCTGCCCAAAGAGCTTAGTAATTGATGAAGAAACATACTACCAACTTAGATAACTTTTTTGCAACAGTGGGCATGCCTAAAAGATCTTGTGGGCAGTGTCATAGAATGGCAGTGATTGAGAAATGGTTTGATTTTTTATGAAATGGATGCTATGGTGAAAGGGTTAGATAGAAACATCCCTTTTCTGGAGATAAAGAAGTGTTTTGTGCCTTTCCATCCACATTTGCTGTCTAGAAGACTGTCAACTACCCCAGATTATCTTGGTCATTTTTCTTGGTAGATGCCCATGTTTCCAACTATATATTTCCATTGTCTTTATTTTCTACAGTGCCAGTGGACCTAAGTGATTCAGCTTTGTTTTTAAATACGCCATTTTCTATTTATTTGGCTTTCAAATAAAATCAGTTGGGTAACAAAAATGGTTGGTGTCAAGTTAGATATCTGTTTGCTATTTTAAAAAAAAAACTGTACTCCATGGTGTTGAGAGAACTTTTGTCAAATAAACTATTAAATTAATTACTTATTCACTGAAAATGTTATTACCTGGGCATGTAACTACTGTATTGCCAATCAGAACACAGTTAGAAAAAGCTGAGTGCTCCAATATCAGCATGTGTTAAGTAACAATAATAACAATATCTTTCATGGGTGTGTTCGGTATATCTTTGAGATTTGGATCTTTTACCACTAAACATTTGAAACAAATCTCTGGATTAGAGCTATCTTTAAGCAAGTAAAACTTCGGTGCTAAACGTAAGGAAAAATACTCTGTCATGGAAGATTTTCCATTATATTTTTTCCCTTTCAGTTTCTAAGAATGAATTAATTAAATAACATGCAGAACACATACTTTATAAATAGCACATGCTACTAATGTTATGCAGTAATTTAAATAACAGATACCTGAGAGTTAGAAGCCATCACCATTAACCCATCAAATCTAAACGATGTAGTTGGAAAGCAGGAAGTCATGTGACTTCATTGCTTAGTGACTGCAGTTCATGCATTCCTCGTTGCTTACTAATTGAGAATTGTAAGTCATTGAGTGAGTACTTGCTCTAAGCCAAGCCATTCTGGGTTTGATCCCTCTCAGCCCCAAGCTACAGTAAAGCAACGGACTGCCTCCTCCTTCCTCCAATAGCCGATCCACTCTGCCCCATTTCTGCCCTTTTGACTGTCCTGCGCTGTGCCTTGCTGGGCAGGAAGCAACCCTAGAGTTACACAGCTCAGGAAGTCCCATGTTTGTTTGTTTGTTTGTTGTTTGTTATTTTCTCTTGTGGTTTTGAAATAGACCCTGCCAAATGTAGTTTTGACTGTTCTTTAGCATGCTTGGGAACCTGTTCTTCAGAAATGCCTTACAAATTTTATATCCATTATTTATTCCAGCAGAAAAATGAAATACTTGTAAGTAGTTGCAGAACCCTCTGGTCTTAATATTCCCTGTTCCTTTCAGCTCTCTTTATGGCAATTAGTTTTTAGTTTTTATACCCATGCTGTTCTTTTATTAGCCCAAAGATTAGACCACAGTTCATCACTCCAGTTACAATAGATTTGGTGAGTTGTAGTATTATGGAGATTGAGTCTCTTTTGTGATGATTGGACAGCATAGGGTCAGCCAGAGGGACAAGGAACAACAACAGCAGGCCTCAATCAAATTGTGTGTTCAACAGTTTATTTAAGTTGAGGGAACACTGTGGATGCTTGGCAAATAAATTGTTCTGAGTGAGTGGTAGCTATGGGTTGGAGTCAAAAACAAAAGATGCCTGTGAAAAGTCTTTGTGGTCTCAAAGGGTTTTGGTCCAATTTGGAAAAGAACCAAAATTTCTTTGACCAATAGAGATGATCAGGGGATTGTCTTTGAAGAAGACCCTGCCAGTTTTTATTAATTTTCTAGATTAAAAAAAAAAAAACAGGCAGTGTCACAGACCCCATCCCGCATGGTTATCAGGATCAAGGTGTTTTCATTCCATTATGCAGATTTGAATAGGAGCTAAATCTATTTTTCCTATAATTTAAGGTGAGAGATAGCTGTTGTCTCCAGGGCCTCAAGAAGGGAAGGCCTTAAATTGAATGTAGCTGTTTAAAGTTAAACATCTAAAAGTTTGTTCATTAAGATTATATTCTTCCTTTGTTAAAAGTAAGAGAAGCTACCCCTTCCCCAATGCCCCTCATGAAGGAACTCACTGAAGTCTTCAGCTCCATCCTAGTAGAAGAGTTTAAAAATCATGATAGATAAAAAGATGTAGAGAATAGTTTTTTTTGTCTCAATTTCATAAGCAGCCAAATCATGTACTTTGGTTGAAAATATAAGACATTAGCTCCATACTGATTTGATAAGGTTACTGATATTTTATTAATATATTAATGCTAATACAGCATATGGCTGGTAATATGAATTATTGTTACTTGTTTCAAGTTGGTGATAGAGTGCCCTTCATGGCTTCAGTACAGTACCAGTCCATTCAATTTATACTGAGGAATTTGGTACATTCAAAAACAATTTTACTGGCTGGCAC